GGAAAACCCGGACCGATATTCCATCCATCAGTAAACCCAGTAACAATGCGCATCAGTGCTATCGATGTAAACATGTGTTTTTGGGCGGTTTCGTGTAACAATAAAATCGGTAATACATAAACTGTTGTTACCTTACAAATTTACATCTGCGCACAAACTGGAAATATCCAACAGATGAAAAGAAAAAACATCGGCTGGAGTGAAAGCACTGCACTGTTTCAGACTGCGTGAAATCTCAACCTCCAGTATGCCGTGGGATAAGTTACGGAAAATTTTGTCCTTTCTAGTTTGTCGTATTCGCAAGCAAAATGTAGACAGATTGTGACAACCGATTTTATGCTTTAAAGTCGTACATGATTACGATTTTAAAGCGTGCATGATTACGTACATGATTGAATCGTACATGATTACGATTTTACGTAATCGCTTTAAAATCGTACATGATAATCCGGTATTCTCACAAAATGTTTCCTTCCCTACTTGCCTACTTTTTTTCTTCCCTACAAGGGTGTTGAAAGTGTTGTAATTTGAACAAATAACGCGTCTATGCGTGAGTACATGCTGAAGCAACCAAAATTCAACCTGGCTTGACTGTGCTAAGTGCACTCGATTGTGGGTTAGGGTGAGAGTGAAAAGCATAGTCGCACACAAGTACCGGATTATTTCTTCCAGTAAAGTTTTGAAAAAATACAGGGACCAGATGCAAAGTAAATGCTTACTAGCTTCCTCTCAGAACCAAATTTCTTGCTTAACATCATGCATCCGTAATAATCCCCCCTTCCTCTTAATCCTGCCCTTTCAAATTTTTACCTTCAAGCAAAATACCAGTTTCTTTGCGGTAAATACCCAGTCCTGTCCATTCTAGAAAACGACCCCACAGATACAACCTTTGACCCATGCCTTTCTCTCTCACCCACTTATACCCTTTACTCCGCCAATTTCGCAGTCATCGCACGCTACCTTCTAACTTGGCTGAGCCAAGCCAAGTTTCGGTTATTGCCCAGCTCATTTTACGTTTAAAGACTCGCACAAGGACAGTAAACACTCTCCCAAAATCGTGAGTTTCTGCTCAGACTGCTTGCAGTGCTAAATGCGTGCTAAATTTGTCCAAAAATGAAATTTTATTTACGCTTAACGCGAGAATTAAGCATACCTCATAGCTGCATTTAAAACCCTAAAGTCATATACGGGCATAGAATATCATCGTGAAATTTCAGCTTTCCAGCTTATCCGGTTTCCGGAATCAATTCTTCGCTACAAATTTTCAACGTGTTCTTATGCGCGACCGTGATCACTGACTTCAGGATGGAAGGGTCGCAGACGGGCGGGAATATGCTCACAAAATCGCTCCACGAAGTGGGAACAGCTTTTTCAACTGCTGAATTGAAGGTGAATGATAAAATGCACGCTGAACACATATGCATACAAATACCTACTGACCTTTTGAAAAACATTTTTGCACTGTATTAAATAAGCAAAAGTGCATAAAAATGCTGAGTAAGGTTAGCTTGGAAACCAACTGATACATTTAGCCTGTACCAGACGTAGTCTTGAAGATCTGCGGTGAAAAGCCAAATGCAGCATTCAGGTTGACACTGGAAGTTTAAGTGGGGACAAGTGTAGCGCATAGAACTTTTGTGCTTTGGCGATATAATACTGCAGCTGTAAAGTCATGTCAGACCTATCTTTAGTGTGAAAATACACGGAAGCGTCAATTACTGAGTCCGGAAGATGCTGTAAGTGTAATATGGGAATGTGGGTGAGCTATGGCACTCGCTAAAATATCAAAAAAAAAAAAAAAAAATCAACTAGAGAGATGTAAGCGTTCATTTTACATCTAAGAACCCATCCACTGTGGTAGAGTAAGTTGTCAAATTCCAGCTTCGTAGATTTCATAGACCTGGAGGTTCAAATATACGCGGACAGATACATGCAAACAAACGGGCACATACAGGCAACCTCTGTACAGTACGCATTTCTGCATTGCATAGATGCAAAAAACACATAAGATACTTGTGTGTAGTTTTTGTTGAACACCCATATTTCGCCACTTGCAGTAGGCTTCGGTACGCCGTGGCCGTTATAATGGAACAAGATGCGATCGTCCTTAGCGTTACGTCGCAAACTTTGGCATAATCGTCGGACATCTTCTATTGTTGGGTCACTGGCCGCTTTATATCTGAACAGCCGTTCAGCGGATCAAAATGCAACAACACCATAGGGTCTCCTATCGCCACTTCGTTGAACAATGTAAAATTAATCAACTGAAGCAATCGCATTGATCGTTTCATCGAATCTAGCCTCGACAGGAGCCTGTCCATGTAAGAAACCTAGGGATACATCGCCCTGAGCAACGGGAACAGCTCATAGGATACATCTACGTCTTGTTAGACTAAGATTTTGTGAGTTTCCTTTTTCTTTCAGTCATTGTTATGCGTTTTGTGCTGTGTAACAGCAGTACAAAACGCATATTGTCACAGGTTGTTTGTGTATGTGTTTGTGTGTGTGTGTGTTCGCAGCAACTTCTCCGCAACTTTCAACTAGGGAATAACAAAAGCCAGGAAGCTGAAAATTTAGGGGAACGTCCCGAATCACGTGTGACCCCGCAAATTAAAATTCAGCTCCCCCCTACCCGTGGGTAACACGTATGGCCCGTGAAAGTTTTTTACGGGTAAATTAATATCTCGTGAACCACGGAATCTAGGAGGCTGAAATTTTAGGGTAATGACCCACTGCACACGCTCAACCTTGTACATTCAAATTGAGTATCACCTACGGCTTCGTGAAAATTCTGGAGGGTAAACTATTAACTCGGCATAAAGACATTCACCCTTCAAGGTTTCGAATTCAGCTTTCATGCGCTGGTGCGTGAAATTTTTAACTGTTTTCCGAAAGATATTCACTCTTCAAGGTTTCGAATTCAGCTTTCATGCGCTGGTGCGTGAAATCTTTAACTGTTTTCCAATGTTTGTACTATTTTTGCATAGACAAAAGTACAAAGCAGTGAAAATCATTAATAGGCAATCGTTCGATGGGCTTCGCATAAAACACATGATGGCGCACCAGCTAGTCTGGTGCGCATTACCATTTATTTCATTCGCGAGTTATGAATTTTCCCGCCATAGTTTTCACGTGCCCGTACGTGAGCCCTATTTATTATGTACTTTCCTCTGTGTTCCAAGTGCTTATTATATACTTTCCCACACAGGTCTTTGAAAGTGAACCATGTTTATTCATTTTTATTGCTTAAAGCTGTGTCATATCAAATGATCTGATCAATTACTTTATTCCTATTAATTTCGACTTCAGCGTTGGTTGACCTCATTCTACTACTAAAAATCTTAAAAAATTAAAAAATTTTTAGAAAATTTCCAATTTCCTACATTCTGCTAGGCATGGAAGTCGCCATAGATCCGAAGATATAGCATTTCCACGGTAAATTATTTTGATATAATTTAGAACTTCCTCACATCATTGTCCTTAAATGATAACCTTGCTCTTGGCTGCCATCGTTCGTAACCTTTTTGCAGGGCCAGCGAAATTTTCGCCATTGCTTTTTGTGGATTCAAACCAACCGGGTCAACCCAGCACTCGGTGCGGGCACATGGATTCGGTCGTTGCACATCCGGCGGATCAACGCCAATGTTAAGACATAGAACGAGGGCCACCGAGACCGTCTTCATTCGTTCCTTTGATATATTACGCCTAAAACAGTGCAGTGGAACACAAAGGAACAGATGAAATAGAAAAAAAGCGATACGGAGAGGCAGTTTAACAAAAGTATGAGGGCAAAAAAAGTCATACCAGAGGTGCCTATCCGGCATCTCCTCCTTCAGACCCATTATCATCTCGGTGTGTCGCCGTTCCTGGAACCAGGTTGGCATCGACAATTCTGCGCACTGAAAAATTTGTTGCATAAAAAACAAAAAAACTTCAATTGGGTAAATCTTCATTTTCTCAATTGGCTAAATTTTATGATGCTTTACTCTCAGATGCACCTTAGTGACTACAGATCAGTAAAAGACTTTATCACAGTTTGAAAGACAGGGACTCCTTGACCTGCATTACGAAAGCAGTGCTATTTATCACTGTATCACGATATTTACTGTTATGAAAATCCC